TTTGTTAGGTTGAGTCCCTCTTGGAGTTGTGTCCCACACCTTCTAACTTGATTTATTGAGTTTTTCTAACTCTTCTTTCATATTCTATAGGTTTTCTAACACTCTCCCCCCATTTAAAAGAAAAAAAGCTACTTTTAATGCATATAGATTCACATAATTTTCCAATTTGCCATAGATGTTTGCATTTTGGTTTCTGTATCAAAAGATACAAATTTCTAGATCTTGGGATCCCTTTGCACTCTTAAAAATGATAGAGAACTCCACATAGCTTTGTTTATATAGGTTACATTTACCAATATTTACTGTATTAGAAATGAAAATTGAGAAATTTAAAAATGTTGAATTCATTTTATAATAAACTAATGTGTTAGCATAAATGTTTATGCAAAATAACTATTTACAAAATTCCAAAAACTTAGTGAGAAGAGTACCATTGTCTTATGCAAATTTATTTAATGTGTGGCTTAATAAAAGTAGATTCTCCTATCTGACTTCTGCATATCACACGGCATATAATACACTCTGGAGAGAATTTGAAAGTAAAGTCATGTCTTATTATGAAAGCAATTCTCACCACATGGACCCTTTAGCGGTTTGCAATTCTCACCACATGGACCCTTTAATGGTTTTAGACATACGCAGGAGTCCCTGGACCATATTTTAAGAACCTCTGATTTAGATTATCTTTATAAAGTCTCCACAGCAGCCTAGTATGCGAACGTTCCATATGTTTTTTGTAGCTGGAATGATTTGAGTTCCTTTGAAAGTAACATTTTGTTGTCTTTAATCCTTTGGAAGCTTGCAGGATTCTATTTTCTGAAAGCTAAAAATCTTTACCAAACCAGACAGAGCAGTGCACAGATCAGACTCTGCAGCCCCAGAAGATGAGGAACTGCCTCAAATCCCCCACCTCAAATGACATCTCCCTGCTTCATTGAGTCTCAGTCTGCCCAGGCAAGGGGAAGAGCCAGATCAGGAGCCGCCACCATATCAGGACAAGTGCCAGTTCCAGTCTATCATCCAACACCTAGGCAGACTGGCCTAACAACCCAGCTGACTAAAGAGGAACAAATTAGAATAGCTCAAAGAATAGGCCTTATTAAAAAAAAAAAAAAAAAGAATAGGCCTTATCCAGCATCTGCCTAAGGGAGTTTATGACCCTGGAAGAGATGGATCCGAGAAGATGATCCGGGAGTGCATGATCTGTATGATGGACTTTGTTTATAGGGACCTAATTTGATTTCTGCCGTGCATGCACATCTATCACCTGGACTGTATAGATGATGGTTGATGAGATCCTTCACGTGTGTCTCCTGCATGAAGCCAGTTGATGCAGCAGTGCTTTCATCCTACGAGACTAACTGAGCCAGAATCTCTGACTTCAAGTGAACCATCATTTTTGGGTGGTTATTATCTTTTGTCATTGAGCCCAAAGAGCCAGGGCTTAGGAATTAAGATCATGCACAAAAGGTTCTTTAAAATTCCTGGATGGCTACAGGTGTTGGGGGAAAGTATGTGATATTTTAGAAACTTAGTGGGAAAAGTAGGATGGTATTTTTATGTAAAGCCTTAATCCAGTGTTTAAAAATATAATTGTATTTAAATCTTGTTATCGTTCCAGTACACAGGAATTGTGTAAAGTGTTACAGCCGCTGCATATGTTTAAATTGTGTGTTGAAGATTAGGAAAAGATAGTGGGTATTTTTCCTAAATGAAATAACTTTTTTCTTCCCCCTCGCCCAAATTCTTTTCTGAAGTTGCTGGCATTCAAGGGTCAAGGTTTTATTAAAAGCTACATTTTACAACACTGGCACAAAAAACGGTAGTTTTAAGCTTGTTTGCACAGTTCTTTTTTTTCCATTGGAAATGGAATTCATTGCCTTAGGTCTTTTTAAATAGCATATTATTATTGTTGGGGCTGGCTCTCTGCTTGGGGCAAATCTCTGTAAGAATATAGCAGAAGTTTTCTACCTTCTTCTGTAGAAAGGATGAGACCTAGATAATAAAAGTGAAAGGAAGAGCAGGACACTATAGTTCTTAGCAGCTGATTGGACAAAGAATATCAGGGAATGAAAAGCAAAGTGCTTACGCATATTTTTCGTGGTTACTTCTAAAGATTCAATTGTTTAGAGATGGCATTTTAAGGGAATTATGCAGGAGTGGTTGGTGGTGTAATCAGAATTAACCTCTTTCAGGGATTTGGGGAGATAAGAAAACCTTAGCTACCTAAAGCTATTTACATATTAATTTCCCATGGGAATAGTGCCTACAAAGTTGGTGTTTTTTTCTCATTCACACTAGTAGGGAATCTTCAACTTTCAATGGCAATTTACTTTTTTTCTTAAACATTCTTTCTTAGGAAAAAAAATTCAAACCGAAAGGCAAGATTCTTTTTCTTTCTTTCTTTCTTT